GATGGAAGTTGCCTGCATTTCAGATATCGTAAAAGAATATTTTCACACTAAAGCAACAGTAATTGAATTTAATTTCTCAATTAATTTCAAACTCCCACCAAAATTCGAATTATATTATTGAAATGAAAATATTTGCTCAATTGTGTATTTATAAATGAATTACTTAAATGCTTTTTAAATCTAATGAAAATTTTAGACAATAAATCAACGGATTCAATTAGCTAACTTCTGTTTTTAATTGGTTAAAAAACTTTCGAGCTTAAATTTATTCACCCTTTGCAAAAGCAAAAATATGATTCGCAATTTCATTTTCAGTAAATCACTATTAAACATTTTCAGTCATTACTTACTAAATAATAAAAATCGTAATTAAAAACAATTAATTTCTAGTTATCAGTTGAAAGAGGTAAAAGTATTTCTGAATAAAAAGTTAATATTACAAAAAATTTTTTTTTGAAAATAATTAAAGACAATAAAAGACATCAAAGCATTTTAGCAAAATAAATGCCAAAGTTAGCAAATAATTTTGTTTAAAATTTGAACAGTGCTGTTTACATTTGTAAACTTTTCCTTGCAATAATCAAAAAAAATTTTCAGTTTCTAAACATTGTACTATGTACAAAACAATGCAAAGTTTGCACAAAAATAAGTGTCAGCTTTCACAAAACCAATTCAATCTTCAATCACATTTTCGACAGACATGAAGTATACTTGACGTGTTTACGTAAAAATTAGCTGAATTGCATAAAATCTTTTGCACACCGGAAGTGAAATAATTAGTGAGAGAAATGACAATGTAATATATTTAGTTAATATTCATGGAACAGAGTATTGTTTTCTTAATAACAGCAATTTGGAACTGTAAAGTAATAAGATAACAAGAACATATTAAAATCAAACACAATGACTGATTGTCAAAGATATGCAGAGTTTTTGCTATCTAATATTATCATCGATAGTTGAAATTGAACGATTGGATTTCAGCAGTTCTTCACAGCCATCCAACCAATAAGTAAGCAGTGTTCCGATTCCCTGTTATAGCCATCATTTTCAACCGCAACTCATAAAGTATTTACTGCAGTCACTTAGCAAGAAGTACTTCTATGTTGCTAAGTTGTAATCAGTCCGAATTTTACAAAAATAAAAGTTTGTCATAGCTCAATCAAAGAATTTGCCGTGTACTGTAAACTAATCTGTAGTGGATCATTTCTATCTGAGCATCCAAACTTTTACAAAGTTAACCAAAAAAATGAGAATTTCAAGTTTAATACTGTTTTTTAGCAGAATTTTTCAAATGACTTTTAACAATCAAATTTATGATCAGTTTTTTGAGATCTTTTATTCAATGTTTGATCTTTTATATTCATCATAAGTGATGAAAGTTAAAAAAGCAAAACTAAGCGTTTTTTGAAATTAGGCAACAACTGTTGTACAAAATATAAGTAGATTAGTTAACTTTCCTTTCAGAAATACTAAAAGTTTTATTTATAAGCGATGAAAAGTTTGTAAAAACAAACATCAATTCGAACTCCACCCCGTGGCGAGCATCTGAATTCCGGATAACGGGCTGTTAGCAGTTGATAACTCTTCAAAGTTATCTGGATTTTATCCGCCACACCGCTGTTTTCCATTTTCGAAGCTAAAGTTACCTAAAATATGCAAAAAATTCAGTTATACATTTGCTGCAATACTCGACAAGATGACTCTTAATTTCAAACTTTTTTTTCAGTTGAACAATTTACTTTTATAACGAATTTAGAAGGTGGAATTTGTACAGAAAAACTGAATGTACTGTACAAATAATGTGTTAGTAGTGAATGGCCAGTCTCATATATACTGTTGTTAATACCCAAATGAACTGATAAATATTTATTTACTGTATTTACTGTAATATTTGGGAGCAAAATAACTAAGTGAATTGAACCGTTTAATGAAAGAGATACATTAAAAATAATATAAACGCATAGATAATTAGATTATTTGATAGTTATGGAAGAAGATATACCACCATAACTGCTAAAATTTATTCTGCTTAAAACATAAAAAAACAAAAATTTGGTCGCCATTTAAATAATTTTTTCATTTGAATTTGAAGAAACTTCTACGAAAATTATTAAATGTTAATTTAATGACTATTTATTTAATTTATTACTTATCAGAAAAAACAACCGTTTGTCCAAAGACACAATATCTTGGAGCATTCAAACCAACAACCCCGGCGAATACAGGTCCCGTGTTGAAACCCCAACGACAATGTAACTTTTGCTTTGGTCGGTGTGGTATCTCATATTCAGATAGAAACTAAAACTATGCAAATTTTCGACATTGAACTAAATTAACTGCTAATAAATTGATTGAACTTGAAGTACTTTTACTTAGTTTGATGTCAGGTAACAAAGCATAAATATTTTTTTGAATGCATTCACAATTTACTTTGTGCTAAAATTTTTTTGCAAATGTGAAAAAATTAAATATTAATTTAAAAAACACTAGTAGATTAGCATTTTTATCAAATTTTGCAAATTTATATAGATTCTAATTTATCAGTATTTTAGTTGATCTATTTTCCTTCTTGTTTTAAATCCAATTCAGTTATTTCAGTTATAATAAAAACAGAAAAAACTAACATCGCGCATCAAAATTGCAACAGAAGCAATGTCTCGGACGTGATCGTATCTACTAGCATTTGGCACACCTGAGGTCACCATGTATGCATCCCCAATTGTTTCTACCTAAAAAGTCTGGAATATTGATAAAGAGCAAATTTTATGATTACTTTTATTTATCACTCACTACCTGTGAAAGCTAGTGATCAAATAGCAATCAAGTGGAATTGTTTTTAAGTTTTCAGATGTATCGAAAACTGATTACTTTTAACTTAAAAATATTTAATAACGACTGTCTCTAATTAAAACTCACCGAGATTTGTGAACAGTTCTAAATAAAGCAAGCACTTAATTAAGTTCCTTTAAAAAGTAAGAAATTACTTTTCTTACAAAGCAATGCTGCAAAGTATATTCTTAATTAATAAAAAAGTTCAATACTTTCTGATTTCGATTCAATAAACTTAGAGGTTAAACTAATTGCATTCTAAATAGATTAAAGGCAAAGTTGTAAGTAAAAAAGTGGTGAGTGTTTTATATGCTTTGGTCAGAATGAAAAATAATAAATTAAAAACTCAAAAAATTGTTATTTTTGATACTTTGATTTTTTGCAAATAATTTTCAAAAAATTCTCAAACCTGTTATTTTTTCAGCATTTTCAAAAATCACTGAGTAGCGTTTTATTAAAAGAGAACAGCAATTTCTGATGGATTTAAATCAAAGCATTACATTGATTTAAAGAAAAAGTTACTAATATGTGAAGTAGATTCTAACTTTTAGTAGTACTTTGCTTTGATTAATGTCATTTATTATTTGAATTTTGCTTATTCATTGATAATTACAAGCAAATAGTGACCTTATAACATTTATGCTTAGATATAATCATATCGAAATTCTTGAAAATGCCACTAAGCAACGTAACAACTTCCATCGGTGAACTTTCACTACAAAGTGACGTGAACCCGACAATATCTGAATACATAACTGTCGCTGACTTGTAACATTTTGGATCAACTCGACGACCAATTTTCAGCTCATCAGCTACAGATCTAAAGCAGATATTAACTTATGCAGGCACTTATTTTACTTTTCTTTCAAATATTCTCTTCAGTACAATTCAAATTTCATTTGAAAATGATCTCACGAGAAACATCAAAGAATGATCTGCTCGTAATATTTTCACTGGCTGATCAGAAACACAGAAATTGAGTAAACTAATATTCTTTAGGGAGCTAACTTCCTTCAACTGATAAAGTTATTAAAAAGGCTTAATTTAAATGCGTTAGAGGGTTGATAAACAATAAAGAGCAGACTTTGGTAGCAATTCAAGAAGCAAACGTTCAGCGTGTTCTTGCGTCTTCTCAAGTTGATGAGTTCGTTCTTTCACCAAATTTTCCAAATTATTGGTATACTGCAAAAATTATTCTTACTTTCAGAGATCATTACAAAATTAAGAACAAAAAAACAGACAAATTATCACTGTATATGGTGCTGACTTGTTTTAAATGAAAATTTTATCAAAAAGGATTAATTTAGACATGAAAAAGAGTTAATAATCTCTTTATAGCAATGGTCAAACTGATAATCACTTAGTTCTGACCATTCTTCGGTACATCATGCCGAAGCAAAAGGTCAAAACAAATTTGAATGCTAAAGTCGAAGCATTTTGCTGCTGCCAATTCAAATATTTTTCAGCGTTGTTAAAATCATTTCAGAAATCTTTTGTTATTAGTAAAATGAACGATTGGACTTTATAATTAAGAAGTGTAAGATTCTGTAAAATTAACATTCACCATACTTATAACATTTATGCTTCAAAACTCACTGTAAGATTCAATTAATTGATCAATAATTTTTTCATTTATAAATAAATTATTAAGTTATTAGAAATATAGAGAGAAATTCTGCATAAATACACCTGTTCAAGATTTTTGATCATTTGATCAACCAAACTACCAGAACTGAAATTATTCTCACATTTAATACATCTTCGACAGGATTATAAAATTATAGTAAAAAGTGCTACAACTTCATCAGTTATCAAATCTTTTATTCTTTTTGTTATTGAATACGGTTATAAAAATTCTCATTCTCACTGAATAGATATATAAAAAAACACTAAAACAGACTTACATTTTCATCGTTGCATCTGTAATTTTGCGTGCTAACGTAGCATCCGGACGTCCTTCAGGCTTATCACTCCAGCACTTGCGCATTAGCTCCAGCAGATCTGGATGAACTTCAGTATTTCTCGGTATACTTGGATAGTGTGGAATCAGTGCTTCAATGGCCTCATTGAAAATACCGACATCTTCTTCCTTTTCTGCTTCGATACCTAAAATCCGCTAATACAGAGAGGAAAAAATTGAATTGTGTCTCCAAATGATTGTTAATTTGTCGCATTTTACTTTATCCAAATACAGTAAGTAAAACAATGAAATGCAATGTGAGCTACTGAATTTGATTTTGGATCTCCAAATGAATAACCAAATTGAATTTTTTTAATCTTCAAATATCTCATATTCAGTTGTAATCATATTTCGCATCTCTTATTTCAAACAACATTGCTAGTTTTAATGTTGCTTACTTAAATTATTATCAATATTATTGTTATTATTAATATTATTATTATTATTGTTATTATTACTAATATTGATATTTAGGACTATTATTAGCAGTTTTTGTTAAAAAAAACCAGAGTGAAAATCAAGTAAGTATTAATCGCAGTCTCACCATAATGATTATCGCTGAATACAACAACCTTTTTGCGAAAAACGACTTCGAACAAAATTATACCAAATGCATACATATCAGCAGCTCGGCCTTGTTTCATACTCATAAATTCATTTCCTCTAGTCATCATATCTCTCAATACATCACGCAATTCTGGTGCATAATAATATAAATCTGAACCATAAATAAGTATATTTTTTGTGTTAAATACTACGAAAATTGATTTTTATACAGAAATTTATATTTGAATTCAAAATCAATAGTTTTCCTCCTGTAGCCTTAAATATTTGAAAAAGGATCAAGCATCGATACCAATAATAAAAAATACTGCAAAAATTTCAGAACATTTCTGCAAACAAATTTTCATTGCATAACTTTTAAACTAAATTCCTACCTGAATTTAAAATCAATGGTTTTCTGTCTTTTGCACTTAATAAACCTCTAATTTTCCATTTGTAGAGTAACTTGGATATACCAAATCCAGAAAGTTTCAGAATCCAACGACTATCAATCAGACATTGTGATGGGGTCAATGATCCGTGATAACCAATTGCTGAGGAATGCAAAAATTCCAACCCCTCCAAAGCAAAAGTGAAATTTTTTTGTTACTATTATTCATTATTTATAATTTTTTACTTAACTGTTTAGTATTATTATTATCATGTTTGTTCATAACAATTATAACTATAATTATTAAATCGTAATTATT